GCTAGTCATTTCTTCCTCCTTGGAACTCTCTCTCCTTGGCTTCCATGAAAACACCCTCTTTGAACCTCTCTGACTCCTCCTTCATGGGTTCTTTCCTTTTTGGCTCCTCTCTCAGCAGAGATGGCCCGTCCCAGGACGCGCCCACGGCCGCTGCCGCTGCTGACGTGCCGGCACGTTCACCCAGCGGACTGTCTGCTTCTGCCTGTGCTCTGATGACTCCCAAGTCCGTCTCTATGCCAGATAGCCTTCCTGAGGCTCACACTTCTGTGTCCAGTCGCTCCAGACCACACTCACATTCAACACATACAGAATAATAAATTCATTATTTCCCCCAACAAACGTACATTTTTTTCCCATTTAACTCTCTAGCTTAGGAAATGGTACCATCCGCTCCCCCATCACTGAAGCCAGAAATCTGAGCATCACCTGTAACTCAGCTCTCCCCTGCTCCCCCACACCCAGTCAGCGTCACGTGCATTTGACGGTATCTCCCAAGCACCTCGGTGTCCTCACCACCACTTCCTTGGTCCTGGCTCTCTCAGTCCTAACTGGTTGCCCTGCCTCTAATCTGTGTCAGCCCTTCTCCCTGACCGCTACTAGAGTTCATTAGAAACAAAACAACGAAACAAAAAACTCATGACATCACTTTACTGATTAGAACTCTTTAAGGAGCCCACTTTCCCTGGAGATTAGCTGAACTCCTCGACGTGATGCGCATGGCCGTTGCCGATCGGGTCCTGTCCCTCCCTGGTCTCACCAGCTTCCCCTCCCTCCCCTGGAGACCACCTGCTCCAGCCACTCGGAGCTCCGGGCAGGTCCCTGGACACCTCTGCGCTCTCACCCCACCGAGCTTTTCAGTCTCTCCCAGCTGCCTCCCCGATCACCCTTCCTGGCCCTTCAAGGATCAGATCTTCAGAAAAGTATCAAACCAAATGCATAACACAAAAGAGGCCGTCCTTGCTAGACGCTGGCTCCCCTTCCACGGTCCACCCTCCTCCTGGCAAAAGCAGTTATTTGTCCTGTCGTATAAACCGATGTTTCTTCTAGTCCACAAATCACAATGAATATACATTCATTTTAAAAATATAAGCTCACTCATTTAAAATAACCCCATTAACATCTTTTTTGGTTCATATTTGTTTTCATTTTTATGTTAAAGTAATAGGAATAAGCAAATATTAACTACTATGTACAAAAACAGGGCAAGATTTTCTCCTGTCCAGCACAGGGAACTATATTCAGTATCTTGTAATAACCTTCAATGAAAAAGAATGTGAAAATGAGTATCTGTCTGTGTTTGCATGACTGGGACGTGATGCTGTGCGCCAGAGACTGACACAACATTGTAAACTGACTAGACTTCAATTAGAAAAAAATCGTAGGAAGAAAAAGCCGTCACAATCTTATCCTCAAATCAAATCAATGTTTCCTTTGTCCAGCATAGGTTTAGGTCTTATCGATGTGCCGATATTGCTATATTTCTAATAATATGCTCCACAGAATTTGTTGATAAGGTCATGCCTATTTTTGTGGGTTTTAATTTTTTGGAGGGGAGAGGTAATTAGGTTTATTTATTTATTTTCTAATGGAGGGACTGGGGATTGAACCCAGAGCCTCATGCCTGCTAAGGGCACACTCTGATACTGAGCTATGTCCCGCCCCCTCCGTGCCGGTTGGCCTCTGTCCCACCTGTCTCTGACCTACCTCCTCTCCCTCCCATCCTTCGCAGTGACGACAGTTCGGTGTGAATCTTTCCACCTTTTCTCCTGTTTAATCGGTTCTGCTGCAGGAGGAGGAAGGGAAGGTTTTTGTTGCCCGTTCTGCAAAAATGAGAATACATAACCCACGTCTTTTTTTCTTGCTTCTCCCATTGAACCACACATGGACGTCTCTGCAGGCTGATAAACACAGCTCTAACCCATTCCTTCAGCTGCCTGATATCCTGGGGGTGAGGGTACCACAGTGCGTTCAGCCGCTCCTGGGCCGGAGGGCATGCGGGCTGTGTCCAGGTCCCTGCCGGCTCCCGTAGGCAGTGCTGACACGAGCAACCTGGACCCTACATGCCACCGTCCCCTGATGCTTCCTTTCTATGGGATTTCGTCCCCCAAACGGGAAGTGTTTCTAGCAGGTAGGTTGGAGCATGATTTATAAATAAATAGAAGCACACAGTGTAGCGTCATACACCCCAAGTTCAGCAGATACTCATAATGATAAGGCTATTCGACTAGGTGGTTACCTAGCAGCCTTCTGATGGGAAAAGACACGTTTCCCGGCAACGAGCAAGTCTGCATTACTGAGTGAGAATTTGCTAGGAAGTACAAAGCTGGAGCGTGGCACACAGCAGCTGAGAAGCACGGCTGCGAGGCTGGCTGCCCGGCTTCCTTGCTAGGCCGGCTCAGGCCGGCAGAGGGGCATCACGGGATACTGAGTCCCTATCCTTGGGCTAACCAAACCGCAACGTGCTTTCAACCAGCCTCAGCTCTGTGCGATCTGACCAATTGCATTCTGTTGAAGCCAGTGACTTAAGAGCTGTGAAGGGGTCTGTTTAAGGCAACGTATGTGAAAAGGCCTGAAGTGAGGGGTCAGAACACGGGTCCTGGGCTCTGCCAACTTGTCAGCCCTGTGGCACTCGGGAGCAAGCCTCAAAATCCCCATCTATAAAATAAAGCTAGTAATAGTCACGCCGCCCACCGCAGGACTGCAGGGGAACAAATGGAACCATGTAAACAAAAGTGCTCCGAGCCAGCTAGACATCCATTAGCATTGTTAATCTTATTCAGATTCCTGAGGAGGCAATGTACCGTGTCTGGTGGCACCTTTCCTGTTCTTTGTGTCACCAGGAAAGAACATTTTAGCACTCAAAAGAAGATTATTTTGTAGCAGTCGAGAAGTGCACTCTGAAAGTACAGATCAATACAAAACTTAAGGACTAGACGTCAGCCCCCGAGTCTATCGGCAGGTACGGCTCGGTGGACTTCTGTAACAGTGACGATATTTACGGAGCTGCCTCAGTTTTTAATGTTTCATAGATAAATGAGAATGAAGTAACAGAGTGAGATTCCCGCCCTCTTCCCTTAAGTTTCCATTTCTAACTCCCTGTACAGTATCAGATGTCACCTCCCGGTGTTCCTTCCCGCCTCGAGGCTCCTGCCTGTACAACGCACACGTGCGACAGGAATCCAGCTGCTACGCACGGGGTGCTTCCCGCTGTGACTAAAATACTGAGAAACCGGTGCCTCGATAGGTACTCCAAGTGTATGACGGAGGGGTCTGTCTGTGGATACAATGGCAGAAACTTCCTAACCGACGTGAGGGGGCATTTGCTCCAGAGGCGCGGCAGACTTCCAGCCCGTGCCCTGGCAGGACGGAACGCTGGTGTGGGGAGTCCAGAGAGCTCAGAGCCAGTTGGAATTTGGCAGTTGGTTTCCTTCCAGCTGTCCTTAAAGGTGTTCTCTGCAGGGGTTTAAAAGTGGCGCGTACTTATGACTTAAGATTTTTATGTTTAGCTGTTTCTGACTTCATTCTTCTCATTGGAAAACAGAGAAAATGGGGTGTTTATCCAGCAGGGGAGGGTTTATGAAGTTCTGCAGTTACAGCTAAACCATCATGACGTTCAACAGCTGGTGAAATCAGTGGGGAAAGAGGTCGTGTGTGAAGCATACAGTTCAATTAATTAATTATCTTGCCGAAGGTGTACCTGTCAGTGGGCTGTGGCGGCATCAGGGAGGCAGCCCGAGAGAGAGGAAGGCAGAGTGCCTTGGAGCGCGTGGTTTCAGACTTTTCTGGGTGTGGGAAGCCTTCATTCTGGGGCTTCCTCATCACACTCTTAAGAGTGCTTCTGTTGAAGAAAAAGAAGAGAAAAAACTTTTGAGATTCAAGCTGCCTTTATTTAAAAATCCCTTTTCAGTCTAAGTCCTTTTTTCAAAAGGGAGATTTTTGTTGGCAATCACTTTACATTAATTAAAGGGTTAACTATATTCAAATTTAACTGTATAACAACACAGAAGTGCAATAAATACAAACATCGGGTTGTATTCCACAGTCTCCTCACCTTACCAAGACATGGGGACTTTCTGACTTATTTTTTTGTACTCTTAGAGAAAATCGAATTTACAAGATAGATAAATTAAAGGAATAATTATACACATTATAGAAGGTCTATTTGATGTTCAAAGCATCATATGGATTTCATGCAAACAGCTGAATTTCTTAATATATAGAAATCACAGTGCATGTTGTTTAACGTACAGGAAATTGTACCGAGTTAACAACGATAACCAGAAACAGTATTGAATTTAGGGAAAGCACACTGATTTCTGCAACTTAATTTGCAATGCATCAAAAAGGAAGACGGGCTGATGCGTAACAGAGGGACGGACAAATTGACAGAAAGGCAAGTCAGCAAACATTATAAAATATTAGCGATAAATTCTTAAAAAAAGAAAGAACTCATCCATCGCACAAAGCGAAATACTTCCTCTCACAGAATTCAAGTTCGAATGACCTACTCTTTATAACTATACAGCACATCATGAAACAAAGAATTGGCAATTACCAAGGGGAGAAGGGTTGTTGATTTTCTTATAGTTTTTCATAAATCAGAGAAAGAAGTATTTTTTTCCTGAATGATCTATAATGCAGGCAAATAGCCTACCAAATGAGTGTGATCTAAGCAGCCTGAACCACTCTGCACTCGTGAAGAAGGCTGCTTGAGAGATGGAGTTGAGTGTTGGTACTGAGCTTTGGAAAAACACACACACACAGAGAAAAAACTCCGTCATTGAATTTTTAAAAGTTTATGGCCCAAATGGAAATTTTTCATTGTTCAAAATTCTTTATTAATCTTTCTTATTAATACAAATACATGTACTACAAAGTTTTAGTTTCTGAAATTACATAGATCATAGCAGTGAAAACTAGTAAGACTGATTGTAAAAAACACCATACCAATGAAAAATGTTGATACTAGAGGAAACTCGGCACAGATATATGCAAACTCTTGGGACCATCTTCTCAACTTTTCTCCAAACCTAAAAGTGTTCTTTAAAAATAGAGTCTATTTTAAAAAAGAAATTAACAAGAGCAAAGCTCATTTCTGTTTTATTTGGTCTCTTTGTTCTAGGATCATTTCTATAATTTGTAAGATGTAAGTATTCAGAGGTAAAATATTTAAATTTTCCTGTAGTATTTTCCCTTTGACAAGGCCACATTACTTAACTGTGTGAATCCTTTCAGATTTTGGTCCATTCCTCCATTTCATATTTGGTTTATTAGTACCTAACAATATTTTTATTTCCTCTGTAAGGCAAAAACACACGAGAAATTTCTTGCTCCCTATTCTAAGAAGTTCAAGCTATGTCAGTTTTATTTACTTAAAAAACTTGAGATTTTAGATTTAAGAGAGATTTGATTTATATTCTACAATTATGTATTCTCTAACGCTAAGACAAGTAGCAGGTCTTTGGAACTTTTACATAAGATACAATAAAAATGTGTACAATTTCACAACAGCTGATAACATGAAATTTTATCTTAACTTGAAGCAGCATTTTAAATACTGTTTAAAAACTATTCATAGTCACTACCCTAAGTTTATCCTTTTGGCTCCTGTATACTTTTATATTAAAAACTTTTTCCTACCCCACTGAAGACTGTAACAAATACATTCTGGTTGCTGTGGTCTAAAACATTGCTGAGAAATACTGATGCTTAGTGCTGTTTCTGTGGTTCCTTTGATGACAGCTTTCTGAGTTCAGTGTTTTCACGACCCAGGCATCTTTCAGAGACAGGCATAGTGATTTTTCTAATTAATATCCTATGTACCCGGGGTGGTATTTTTAGTTTTTATTTCTAAAGAATGCAGTTAACACAACCACTATATGTAATGTGCTGGTATGTTATCTTATAAATGCTCACGGTGCAGCTTCTAATACAGAAAAATAGAAAAATAAATTGACCTTGATGAAGTGTGTCTTCTTTTGTCTGTTCCCAGGAAAGTTTATTTCAGGTGTTTGTACTGCTGAAATGATTAGCGTTAACAGCTTTTCCCCTCCACTTTATTCTACAGGGCCTCTCCATCTTCCTGATGTATGGGGTGCACAACACACAGGTAAGTCTGCTTGGAGTACCTCAAGGCTGACAGAGTGAATGAGAGAAATGACAGGTTTCTTATCTTGATAACTGAGGAACAAAGTTGGCTTTTCATATGAGTGTCCCGCTGCCCTTCACGCTTGGACTAGCTTATATGCATCCCAGCTCACCATTAAACACTGACATCTGAGTAAAGGGACAGCCTCATTTCTCATAGGCATTGACTAATATTTCACTAGTGCCCTAAGTTTTGGGATGTTCAGTGTTTTAACACCTAACTATACTTGACGGTATTAAAGTTTCACCACTTAAGAGGCAGAGTGCTTCTAATGTCATTGCATGGAGTTAGAAAAACACGAATATTTCTTGTCTCAAAATGCTCATTAAATTCTTTTAAATTTTTGAGCAGGCTCAGAAAGGTCCATCAGCGTTAGTGAGTCATCTCATTTAATTATGAGACCTTATTTAGGTAGGAACATTGTTAGACAATTGACTTGTAATTTCATTATGAAAATGTACCATGGACATAAATTAGGATCATACTTCTTTCTCGTTCTTTTATGAAGGAAAATTCCGATTTACATATGCTTTTGGTTAGGAAAGTCGCTGGTTTAGATGTCTGCATGCTTAACATGAAAGTGAGCGCCCAGTGTGTACGTTAGGCACTGAACAAACACTGGTTGGATATTTGTTGATCCAAACTTGATTTCAAGATTTTACTCTGTAATTCTCCCTGCAGAGCAGAGCTAGTCATTTTGTCTGCGTTTCCCGGTATTCTGCAGCGGGGAAGGGCGGGGTGGGCCCGGCAGCCGCCTTCTCCCCGTGAAGCGGGGCCGGGCGGCGGTACCCGGGCCCAGGCACGCGGGCATCCAAACCCTCTGAGGATGCCGGAGCGCGCGTGTGGGCGTGCTTCCCAGCGCGGCCGCACCTGGATCCCACGCGCCTCCCTCTTCCAGTAGCCTTCAGGTAGTTTGGCAGGAAGACAACTTTTTTTTTTTTTTTGCAACGGTACCTCTGCTGCGGTTTCAAAGCGGCTCATCCCTCGAGTGTGGAGGAGGCGCGGCCCTGCGCATCCCTGGCGCCCGCGGCCTCGGAGGGATGCGGGCAGCACCCGCCGAGCGCCGCAGGCGGGCCCCGGAGAGCCCGGGCCCCCAGTGGGCCTGCGCCGCG